AACAGTTACTGCTTTTGAGCCAGGTCTCACCTAATCTGTACTTATACCTTTGATTTTTCCTGCCTAAATATAAAACTTTGCTTTTCTCCACATTGAAATTCATTTTGTTATATAGGGCCCATTGTTCAAGTTTGTCAAGATCTTTTTGGATTGTGAGTTTGTCTTCTGGGGTGTTGACTATTTCTGCCAGTTTATTATTCATCTATTTGAAGTATATAGAGTTGTTATTTAAATGCAGACACAGTTACATAGATGTACTTATTATAAACACTATCATTAATGTTGTTATAACTAGACTCTGGACATTATTAAGTCTAAGATAACAAGCATGTGAATAGTGAATTCCTGTTACTACTCTAATTATTACTATTATAACGATAGTCAATAAAAACTAGTTTAAAATCACCAAATTTAAAATGTATTCTTTGTCAGATGAGAAGCAGCTGCTTATTTTGTTAGCTTCTGCTGCTATTGAGCATATTGTTAGAGTATTTCTTTCAATTTGGAATGTAGGAATAAGATGGAAGTACAGTAACAAAACACTGTATATAGAAAGCTCTAAGCAGTCCATTTTTAAAAATATACACTGTATTTTTGAAGCTTCAAGGGTTGTGTTATCAAAGAAAGTTACAGTTTGAAGCCTTGTTACTTTATGATAGAGTGACTAGCTTAATAGATCAAGTTCTTTTATCTCGTTAAAGCATTGGCAATGTCATAAAATGCTTATGGACAAGCTGCATAATGTGGGATAGACGATATTGTAATCTGACTGATTTACAAGTGATTGAGCTAAAAGAGTAGATGAAAATGACTCTGCATTATTGGTGGGGGAGAATCACATTGGATGGCTAGGTTATGTGATGGCTAAAGAGTCATAGCCGTGTCTTGTATACTTATCACTTCAGTGATCATCTACTTATTGAGCATTCTTAACTTTCACTTGAATTCTAAGGGAAGATACATGGAGTAAAATTCTTTGTTAAGATCCAGTCATGTTGATGGAAGGAGAGATTGCAAAGTAATGGGAGATGTATAATTAAAAAATAGAAAATGGAAAAGTCAATACTGTTCACTCTGGACACTACTTATAGCCATTAAAATTCTTTTTATTCTGCTCTGAATTTCCATCCGATGCTTATATATGCTTCTGAGTATCCTTTTGGACAAAAAGGGGTTCAGAGAGAACTATATAAGCAATGTTTCTTTTTATGTAGTCTCCTTATTTTGGAGAGCTCCAAAAGAAAAATCATTAGCCCAAAATGATTATAAATGACCTAAATGAAAGATAAGAGATCCTTATCAAATTTGCACATGATCTTAACAGGGTTTGTACAATTCAATATTATCTCAATAGACTTGAATTCTGAGTAAAATCCAATAGGAAGATATTCAACAATAATTGGGGTACTATAGGTTCAAATGCAGTGAGGTACCTCAAGGTTCTATCTGAAATCCAATATTCTTCAACATCTTCACAATGATTTAGATAAGGGGATAGAAGGTAAACTCATCAAATTTGCAGATGATAATAAGTAGGAGGGCAATACTAATGCTTTAGAACAGGGCTATCAAACTTGTGTCATCACGTCATCATGTGACATATCGTGACTTTTCCCCCCTTCACTAAAACAGAGGTGGGTGTGGCATCAAAATGTGTTGAATACCAAATTCGAAGAGTTTTGAAGTAGTCAAGTACTGAGGTAGTACTGTATATCTGATTGTTCCCTGCAAGGCTACCTGCACACCTGATTCCAACGTAATACAAGTAGTTCTCAACTTATGACCACTATTGAGTCCAACATTTCTGTTGCCAACCAAGAAAGTTAAGCGAATTTTTCCCCATTTTACAATCTTTCTTGCCACAGTTAAGCGAAGCACATCAGATGTTAAATTAGTAACACAGTTATTAAGTTAATAATCTGGTTTCCCCACTGAGTTTGCTTGACAGAAGGTTGCAAAAGATGATCACATGACCCCATGATACTGAAACTGTCATAAATATGAGCTAGTTGACAAGCATCTGAATTTTGATCATATGACCACAGGGATGCTGAAATGGTTGTGTGAAAAATGGTTGTAAGAGCCATGGTGGCGCGGTGATTAGAATACAATATTGTAAGCTAATTCTGTTGACTGCCAGCAGTTCAATTCTCACTGGCTCAAGGTTGATTCAGCCTTCAATCCTTTCAAGGTCAGTAAAATGAGGAGCCAGATTGTTGGGGGCAATATGCTGTAAACTGCTTAGAGAGAACTGTAAAGCACTATGAAATGGTGTATAAGTCTAAATGCAAGTGCTATTGCTATAAGTCACTTTTTCCAGTGCAGTTGTAACTTTAAACAATTGCTAAACGAATGATTGTAAGTCGAGGACTACTAGTAAAATGTGCTCTTTTACCATTTCCATTTTAAAGTACTAAAATCTTTTCACTTTTCAATTCACTTACTTTTAAGATAAATTGGTATTCTACCATCCTATAGCCTTTTTGGTAACCAATAACTTTTGGATTTTTTTCTTTAACCAAGACAAGGTAGCAATTGCTGGGTGGCTGCATAATAGTGTAAGAGGATGCAACTTGCCAAATTTCATAGATCATAGTTCAGGTATTTTCAAATTAGTCTTTTGACTAGTAACTATTTGGTCTGCCCGTTTCTACAACATCTAGAAAGCTCCATTGTTATTCCCTAATATAATGACTGAGGTGCACACTCAGAACCAGAACAAAACTAGAATCATAGAATTCTAGGGCTGGAAGGTACTTGGAGGTCTTCTAGTCCTGCCCCTTGCCCAAGGCAGGTGTACTCATACTATCCCAGTCAAAAGGTTTTCCAATATTTTCTCGAATACCTCCAGCAATGGAGCACCCACAACTCAGGGAGACAAGTTGTTCAATTGATTTATTGTTATTATTAAGAAATTTCTTATTTCTGATGAAGTTCCATCCATTGCTTGTCTTGCCTTCATGTGCTATGGAGAATAAACTGATTACTGTACTTCCATTGTTTATTTCCATTGTTTTATTCCTTTGCTATTGTTATGTTTACATTTTTTATCATTTTCCTCCATTTTATTGTTATAAATTGCCCAGAGTAGCCCTATGATAAGCTGGACAGCAAATTAATTAATTAATTAGGTATCTATATCCTTCTTTCTGAAGACCTGAGAGGTCTTTTGATGTAGGCATACACTTCCAATTAAAAGCAAACTAAACGTCTCAGGTTTTTATATGACAGTTTCTTCTCAGAAGCTCTCTAATGTTCTAATCTGGTATATATGATTGTAATTTTGATATTTGAGGTAGTAATCAATGTGAATATATACGGTACTTGCTTTTTCCACATGAAAATTTTTTATTTATGTTTATTTCAACTACACAATAAACTGTAAAATGACTTCCTGTCTGGCTTCCATCGCCACCAGACGGTCCTCCGTGACCACCAGCCCCGGGTGGTTGTTGTTTTTTTAATATGAAGATATTTGCTATTGATGGGGGCAGATGGTAATTGAAGATACCGAACATACTGTTGGAATTAGGATGTGATGTTACCCTAACACAGGTGATGGAGTTTACAATCCAGCTGAATGACATTACAGAAGATATTATATGGATTACAAGCCTAAAGTCTTTTTAAGAGGATTTTATTTACATAAGGGAATATTTTTTAGGGGAGTGGGCAGAAGAATAAAGATATTAAGATTTATTAAGTATGGTAGTCTTGTAGGAAAGTGGGTGGAGACAGGTTAGTTTATTGATTGTTTAGTTTAAGAAAAGGGATATTATGTTTAGATATGAATATATGTAAAAGATTTGAGTTAAGAGATATAACGATGAGGGTGAAGGAAATGGGTAGATTATGAACTGAATAAATGTTAAATTAGGATTTATTATATAGTTCTATAGCGGAAGGTTGTTTTGAAATGTTAGATTAATATACATAAAAGATTTGATTTATTATTATGCTAAATTAGGAGTTATTATAGTAGAATGTCATTTTGAAATGTATAATATAAGGGGGATATGATAATTTTATTAGAAATAAAGGGTCAGTATATGGGGATGGAGTAAGGGGATGGTAAAGTATTATATAATCTGTTATGAATTTGGGTTTTATTATGAAGAAGTCACAGGGGGAGGGGAGGGTGAGGGGGAGTTAGGGAGGAGGGGGGGGAAAGGGGGAAAAATTTGTATTTGAAAAACTTTTTCAATAAAAAATAAAATAAAATAAACTGTAAAATGTAAATTGTATGATATTTATATCTTCTTTACTGAATGAATAAAAGATAAAATACCTTTATGTTGAAATATTTTTAAAATCTGCATTTATAAAGATAACAGTGATGACATTGGTTGCAACTTCTAAGATAAAGGTCTAACGCTGAAATAGTAAAATACATTTATGAGCTAGAATATATTCACAGTACACCCCATTGAAATATTTCATAATATCATCAGGGAACAGATTTTTTCCCCTCTTCCAGCCCACCCTGCTTACCCATCAAATCTGCTCAGAGGAGAAACTAACCTCTAAAAGAGATTTGACACATGGTGGAAAAGAGAGTATGAAGGTAGTTCCACAATATAATAGCAATAGCACTTAGACTTATATACCACTTCACAGTGTTTTACAGCACTCTCTAAGCGGTTTACAGAGTCAGCATATTGCCCCCAACAACCTGAGTCCTCATTTTACTGATCTCAGAAGGACGGAAGGCTGAGTCAATTTTGAGCTTGGTGAGATCTGAACTGCCAAATTGCATGCAGCAGGAAGTCAGCAGAAGTAGCCTGCAGTACTACATTCTAACCACTGCGTCACCGCAGCTCTTCAGTGGAAGTTGTTCATGCCACACAGAATGAAGTCCTAAAATTGGCCAAACAATTTAGCAGGTGAATATTTGAATATATTCTGTGCTTAGGGCCAATTAAAATTAATATCACAGTTTTAACACACACACACACACACAAAATATATATATTACACTGACATATATACATTTTAATTACCTGGGTTTATGATTAGGAGAAAGAAATGGAGTTTATTTGGGTCAGGAAAGTTCACTTCACACGTACCTGAAAATAAATATAAAAATCTGAAATAAATAAATAAATAAATAAATAATTTTATTTCTCTACCGCCCTTCTCCCGAAGGACTCAGGGCGGTGTACAGCCTATTAAAAACACAAAGACAAACATCAGTTAAAAAATAATTAAAATTATTACATAATTTCGGCTCAGATTTAAAACCCCAAAATTTAAAACCCAATTTAAAAATCATTACATTGATAGCCCGGCTTGGCAGAACAGCAGGGTCTTGAGGGCACAGCGAAATACACGGAGGTTGGAGATCTTACGCGTTTCCGGGGGCAGTTCATTCCACAGGGCAGGGGCTCCCACAGAGAAGGCCCTCCCCCTGGGTGTTGCCAGCCGACATAACTTGGCTGATGGCACCCTGAGGAGACCCTCTCTGTGGGAGTGAACTGGCCGGTGGGAGGCTGTTGGTGGCAGAAGTTCGTCTCACAGGTACCCGGGTCCTATGCCAAATAATTGACAATTTCTAATGTTTATGACCAGGATGAGAAAATATAGAAACAAAACAAAATGTGAAGATTGTAAGCAATAATAAGGACTAATAAATTTTTTATGCAAATAAAAAATGTTCATCTCTTACAATAATTCTCAAATAATTCTACATTTTTCTGTAGCAAGCCCATTACTTAGGTTTTTGTATACTGCATTCATTTGAGTATATTATGGGACTCAGAAAACCTTGAAGTGTTTTATGCTTTTAAAGTTATTACCAGAATTTTGGTCCAAAATATAGCAGTACAGATGGACTTTGACTTACAAACATTCATTTAGCAACAGTGCAAAGCATTGAAAAAAGTGACCTATGACCATCACAGCATTTCCATGGCCACATGATCAAAATTTGGGCATTTGGCAACCGGCATGACAGTTGCAGAATCCTTGGGTTATGATTGCCATTTGTGACCTTGCCAGCCAGCTTCAGACAAGTGAAGTCAATGGGAGGAAGCTGACTGTTTAACAATTGTAGCAATTCGCTTAAAAACCATGACAAAAAGGTTGTAAAATCAGGCACAAGTCACTTAACAGCTACCTTGCTGAGTAACAGAAATTCTGGTCCTAGTTATGGTCATAAGATTACTACCTGTGATCATAGCATTGGTTTTTGGTCTGGTAAAATGTAAACAATCCCCTTAGTCACCTTTAGGAACTGAGTACTTTATTTATAAATGCCATCAACTGCTTTCATATATTACTTATGTGTGAGCATACAGATATTTCAGAGTAAAATATGCAACACATTGTTGCAAACTTCACATCCTGAATCATTAGGCACGATTAAAGCCAATAACTCATTTCAATAATATTTAATCTGTCAGCCGGATCTCCAGCATGGGTTTTCCCTTTGATGCTTGCTTGCTATCAGCTGCCATAGTAATGGGGAGGGGAGGCATGGCATTGGGGTTTGGGAAGAGAACTGGTGTAATGATGGTCCATGTGAATAAAAAAGGATTTGCTCTCACGAATTACATGCTGCTGAATGGAGTTGATTACCTTAAGTCAAGGCCAACCGTCCTGGAACTCCAATGGACGAAAACACCTGAAGATGTGCTCCACATGACACTATGTGGGACGGGGATTGGACATTCAGCCTGGGTCCCTGGGGAGGGATTTGGGGAAACTTTTACTATGTAACTTTTGCGCCTTTTGGCTCAGATCTTGCTTTTCTTTTGCTGCTATCATTTGAAACTCAGTAAAAGTACTATTCTCTACTTCAACGGAGTCAGGGGTTTTCTTTCTTGGGATTTGAATGGAGGCAGGCCTGACATTAAGCAAGATCTTCTTTATCGGCCAACCCAGAGACCTAGTGTACCACCGGGGCTGAGCACACAATGTCAACCCATGGGAGCCATGGGGTCGACCTCCCCCCAGCCACACCGCTGCCGGGGGGAGACAGAGTGGCTGGAGGACCTGCAGCTCCAGTCCAAGCTAAATGGTCATTGGGGGTAAGATGCATTGGTTCCAGAGAAGCACCCGCCCCCAGGGTAACTGTCGCCAGATGCCGGCGGGTAAATGATGCCTTGCAGGAAGCCGACAAAGAGGACCTCCTGCTGATACATGCTCTGCAACTTCTGCACTAAGCTCTCAAGAGTTGGAGAGCTCAGGGGGCCCTTGCAGAGAAGTATGCCCTGCCTGCATGCGAAGAAGCTGGAGAGGCAGCAGTGGGAGCTGGTGTCTCTGCAACCCTAGCTGTGATTACTGCAGCTCAGCAGGGGCCAGCTCCAGCTGCTGGCATCCCAGAAGCCACGGCCACTGCAACCCAGGGCCCCCCAGTGTGGGGGCATTCCCCTGAGGTGCCAAATTCCAAAGGATCCTCAAGAAGCCTTCCCTGGACCCGGCAGTGTTGTCTAATTATCGTCCGGTCTCCAACCTTCGCTTTGTGGCGAAGGTTGTTGAGAGTGTGGTTGCGCAACAGCTCCCCCAGCACCTGGATGAAATGGTGTATCTGGATCTGTTCCAGTCAGGCTTCAGGCCTGGGTACAGCACGGAAACGGCATTGGTTGCGGCATTGGTCGCGTTGGTTGATGATCTCTGGAGGGCTCGGGACAGAGGTTGCTCCTCTGTCCTGGTCCTATTAGATCTCTCTGCGGCTTTTGATACCATCAACCATGGTATCATGCTGCACTGGAAGAGTTAGGGGTGGGGGGCACTGTGTTGCAGTGGTTCTCCTCCTTTCTCTCCGACCAGTTGCAGTCTGTGTTGGCAGGGGGGCAGAGGTTGACCCCGAGGCGCCTCATATGTGGGGTGCCACAAGGGTCGGTCCTCTCGCCCCTTCTGTTCAACATTTATGTAAAGCCGCTGGGCGAGATCATCCGTGGTTTCGGGGTGAAGTACCATCAGTATGCTGATGATACTCAGCTATACATCTCCACCCCGGACCACCCCAACGATGCCCTTGAAGTGATGTCCCGGTGCCTGGAGGCCGTGCGGATCTGGATGGGGAGAAACAGGCTCAGGCTCAACCCATCCAAGACCGAGTGGCTGTGGTTTCCGACGTCCCGATATAGTCAGTTGGTGCCATCACTGACTATTGGGAGTGAATTGCTGGTCCCCACGGAGAGGGCTCGCAACTTGGGTGTCCTCCTGGATTCACGGTTGTCTTTAGAAGAGCATTTGACGGCCGTGACCGGGAGGATTTTTCATCAGGTTCGCCTGATTCGCCAGTTGCGTCCCTTTCTGGATCGGGACTCCTTACGCACAGTCATTCATGCCCTCGTCACTTCCCGCCTGGACTACTGCAATGCTCTCTACATGGGGCTCCCCTTGAGGAGCACCCAGAGGCTCCAACTGGCGCAGAGTGCGGCAGCGCAGGTGGTTATGGGAGCGACATGGCGTTCCCATGTAACACCTCTCCTGCGCGAGCTGCACTGGCTCCCAGTGGTCTTCCGTGTGCGCTTCAAGGTCTTGGTTACCATCTTTAGAGCGCTCCATGGCTTAGGACCTGGTTATCTACGGGACCGCCTGCTGCCACCAGTAGCCTCCCACCGGCCGGTACGCTCTCATACAGAGGGGCTCCTCCGGGTGCTGCCGGCCAAACAATGTCAACTGGCGGCCCCCAGGGGGAGAGCCTTCTCTGTGGGGGCACCTACTATCTGGAATGAGCTCCCCCCGGAGATACGGAGGATCCCGGATCTACGCACCTTCCGCCGCGCTCTCAAGACCTTTTTATTCCATCAGGCTGGCCTGGCCTAATTTTTTCCCCTTTTTCCCTTTTTAAAACACAAATTTTAATTCGTTCTTAATTTATTGGGGTGTTTTAAATCTGTCTTTGGCCAAATTGTTTAATTCAGTTTTATTCAGTTTTAAATTTTGTATTTATGTGTTTTTATCCTGTGGCTGTTCACCGCCCTGAGTCCTTCGGGAGTAGGGCGGTATACAAATCAACTAAACTAAACTAAACTAAACTAGTTGGGAGTAAAATACAGAGGTGATCCCAAAGCCCTGGAATTCTTCCTAGCTCAAGTCTAGAATCACACGCAGGAATATGGGGAGGATTTTGTTTCAGAGGCAGCCAAAGTGTCACCATGGCCCTGGAAGGGACCGGAGCAGATTGGATGGTCACCCTTCACAACGATGATGCCCCCCAACTGAGGGATTATGACCAGTTTATGAGGGCGCTCCATGTGCGGTTCGAGGATCTCCTAGCCGAACGCAAGGCTAGGACCAGGATGAAGACCATGAACAAGTGGTGAAATGCACTTACCTTCGCTACTGGTTCAGGAATGTGAGCGGAGGGAGTTCCTGAAGTTGTTAGGCTCTGCCTAGGGTCTAAGCTCCGCCCACCACCCTCAAACTAACAGGGCCTGTGAACATGCGAACTCGGTTCTGGAACAGTACCTCAGGTGCTATGTAAACTACCAGCAGGACAATTGGGCCGACTTGCTGCCTTTTGCAGAGGTTGCTTAAATAATTCGATCCACAGTAGCACCGGTTTGACCCTGTTTAAAGTTGCTTCTGGTCAGGATTTCGTATCAATTCCAGAACTGCCCCAGGGGAAACATCAGATCCCTTCTTTAGTGGACCTGGACGAGGCACATCCACCCCATAAAAGACAGGCTGACAAAAAAAGAGCTATACTGAAAGAGTTTCAAGTAGGAGACAGGGTCTTCCTATGTACTAATTACTTACAGACCACCCAGAAATCAAAGAAATGTAGGCCGTTTCCCTATTAGGATTGTAAATCCAGTCACGGTACAGCTAGAGCTACCCAAACCCCTTAGACAGATCCACCCTGTGTTTCATGTTAGCTTGTTGAAACCTGAGCCTGTCTCTCCTCTTCAACTAGGCCAATCAATTCCCCTCATCGAAGGTGAACAACACTTCAAGGTCAAAGAGATCCTGGACTCCAGGAAGCACAGGGGGAAAATACAATATTTGATGGCTTAGAAACATTTCCCCCCCCTCACAGTTTGAGTGGGTGAACGCTCAGATGTCTGGCCTCTAAACTCCTACAACTGTTTCACACTAAATACAGTGACAAGCCTTAAAGTTGTTTTACTCCCCTGTATGGTAGATTGCTTCTATCCTGTCTATTTTGTTTTATGTTTTTTCCTTAGGGCTAACGGCTCTACTGCAGCAAGGCAGAATGTTAGCCGGATCTCCAGCTTGCTTGCTATCAGCTGCCATAGTAACAGGGAGGGGGGCATGGCATTGGGGTTTGGGAAGAGAGCTGGTGTGAAGATGGCCCATGTGAATAAAAAGGGAGGTTTGCTCTCACGAATTATGTGCTGCTGAATGGAGTTGTTTACCTTAAGTCAAAGCCAACTGTCCTGGAACTCCAGATGGATGAAAACACCTGAAGATGTGCTCCACATGACACTATGTGGGAAGGGGATTGGACATTCAGCCTGGGTCCTTGAGGGGGAGGGATTTGGGGAAACTTTTACTATGTAACTTTTGCACCTTTTGGCTCAGATCTTGCTTTTCTTTTGCTGCTATCATTTCAAACTCAGTAAAAGTACCTCTACTCTACTTCAATGGAGTTGGGGGTTTTCTTTCTTGGGATTTGAACAGAGGCAGGCCTGACATAATCACTTTGTTTAAGCCTTTACAGTTAAAATTGAAATGTTTGATATCTGATGAATCAGAATGTCAAATGTTAAGCTTTTTTCAAGATACCTTAAGAAAGGAGGAATATGCAAAAAACTAAACACAACAATTTCCCCAAAAAAGAGTTAAGGATAGAAGAACTGTAATATCTATCTGGTAACCTCCCTTAATTATCATTTACAACAAATGACAATTCCAGAAGGCCTTATGTAAATATCCCTCAATTATTTTAAATGTGTGACATAAGGATGAAAAATTAGGATTTGAATACCCCTTAAAATATGCTAAAAACCATACTTACAGGGTAAATTTATTTCAAGTTCTGCAACTTCTATTAAAAATGAAATAAAATATTATTAGTCAATGTCAATTTTATTTACCATTTTGATAAAGATATTTCAGCTGTATTATAAGTAGTAAACCATTAACAAAAACTAATGAAACCTTTTTTATAGCACTGCTAAACAATATAAAACAATCCATTAAAGATTTAATTTAAAAAGTAAGCAATAAAATAATTTTAATAAAACAGCAAATCAGTATAGTAAGTCATAACAGCATTATACAAAATAAACACTAACTCAAATAATTAAAGCAAATCATACAAGGTAAAATACAATTGTCACTGTTTGATTTGAGAGAGAATAGAATATATTTTCTATATAGAGTTTATTTACTACAACTCTATATAGAGTTTATATACATATATGGCTTCTATTATCAGAGTCCAAAGAAAATTTCAGAAGAGTAAAAATCAAAATTCTCAATTATTACAGCCTAAAAACAGTAGCAGAAAATCAATTCATTCATAAATTCATAATTATTTAGATAAGGGGATACACAATGAGAACTCATCAAATTTGCAGACAATATCAAGCTGGGGAGAACAGCCAACATTTTAATACAAACTCAAGGTACAGAATGATCTTAATAAATTTGGATATGTGTCCTATTTAACAGATCCAACTTTAACAGATTAACAGAGTTGGAAGGGACCTTGTTGGTTATCTAGTCCAACCCCCCCCCCCCGCCCAAGCAAGAGACCCTACATCATTTCTGACAGATGGCAATCCAGTTTCTTCTTGAAAGCTTCCAGTGATGAAGCTCCCACAACTTCTGAAGGCAAGCTATTCCATTGGTTGATTGCTCTGTCCGAAAATTTCTCCTTACTTCCAGGTTGAATTTCTCCTTGTTCAGTTTCCATCCATTATTCCTTGTCTGGCCTATAGGTGCTTTGGAAAATAGCTTGATCCCCTCCTCTCTGTGACATCCTCTCAAACATTGGAACACTGCTATCATGTCTCCCCTAGTCCTTCTCTTCACTAGACTAGCCATGCCCAGTTCCTGCAACCGTTCATCATATGTTTTAGCCTCCAGTCCCCTAATCATCTTGGTTGTTCTTTTCTGCACTCTTTCTAGAGTCTCAACATCTTTTTTATAGTGTGGTGATCAAAACTGGATGCAGTATTCTAGGTGTGGTCTTACTAAAGCTTTATACAGTGATATTAATACCTCATTTGATCTTGATTGTATCCCTCTGTTAATGCAATTTAGGATTGCATTGGCTTTTTTGGCTGCCGCCGCACAGTGTTGGCTCATATTTAATTGGTTGTCCATTAAGACTCCAAAATCCCTCTCACAGTTACTGCTATTAAGCCTGGTTTCACCCAGTCTATATGTGTATTTTTGGTTTTTCTTGCTTAAGTGTAAGACTACTTTTCTCTACATTGAATTTCATTTTGTTAGATAGGGCCTAGTGTTCAAGTCTGTCAAGAGCCATCTGAATCTTAAGCCTATCATCTAGGACAGGGGTGTCAAATTCAATTTCATTGAGAGCCACATCAGGGCTGTGGTTGACCTCTTCCCCCTCCCCTTTTCTTTAAAAGCCACAAAGTCTTTAAAGATGTTTGTAATTTATAGTCTCTAATTTGCCAGGCAGAGTAGTTTTTTTTCTCTCTTTCCTCCACAAACTCTCAGTTCCCAGCAGTTAATAGGCAGCTAATCCACTCTCCCAGCGCAAAGTTCTCAAGCACTTTCATTTCTGGCTTTCACTTTCAAAACCATAACAAAGACGCCATCTTCCGCCTCCAGCTTAAGATTCAAATTGAAACAAAGTAACTTCGGAGTTAAGCTCTGTACTTTTAAGGTTTGTTCTCCTGTTTTCCGCTCTGCCTGCACTTGTAGTCAATCAAACTCACTTTTAAAAGCAGGATCGGATCGCGGCTTCTCGCTCTGCTTTTGCAGAGTCGTCCTGGCTCCGAAGCTTCTTGGCGGGCTGGCTGGGGAGCTCTCACCCTCCAAGCCTCTGGAAATGTTCCAGAGGGCTTTCGGGGAGCTCTACTCTCGCCCACCGGCTCTCCTCTCCTTCTTTTCCCGAAGGAGAGTGGGGCTGTGGTTGACCTCAAGGGGCTGGGCGGGCGTGGTCAACTGGGTGGGTGGGCATGGCCAGCTTGATGCCATTCCCCAAATTGCCGGCATCTTTCCTCTTTGCACTGGGTAGACCAGGCTGAAGCCATGCTGGCATGATGTTTCATCTTCGCATTGGGTAGACAGGGCCAAAGCGACATGGGCCGGCCCATTACATTTTCCAGGATGGCCCCATAGGCCAGATCTGACATCGCGGCCCGCAGGCCTTGTGTTTGATACCCCTGATCTAGGTTGTTGGCTATTCCTAGCAGCTTAGTATCATCTGCAAATTTGGTAAGTTCCCCTTCTATTCCCTCATCTAAGTCGCTTATGAAGATATTGAAGAGTACTGGGCCTAAGAGGGAACCTTGTGGTACCCCACTCCATGTAGATGTAGTACATTAAAGACTACTCATTGAATACGGTTTGTCAGCCAGTTACAAATCAAGATGTAGGTTGTGGTCTACTTTGTCGAATGCTTTGCTGAAATCTAAGTACTGTATATTCCGGCGTATAAGATGACTTTTTAACACATGAAAATCTTCTCAAAAGTCGGGGGTCGTCTTATACGCTGGGTGACGTTCTCCTGTAACCAGGCAGACCAGCCCGAAAGGCTCTGACAAGCCTTAAATGGCTCTGGCGATCCAAGCTCTGACGATCTGCTAATCAGGCAACTCAGCTGGGATCGCCAAAGCCATGGAGAAGGAAAAAAGTTTTCTCCTTTCACATGGCTCTGGCGATCCAAGCCCTGACGATCTGCTAATCAGGCAACTCAGCTGGGATTGCCAGAGCCATGGAGAAGGAAAAAAGTTTTCCCCCTCCAGCTTGCTTACCTTAGCTGCTAGTCACAACGCTTGCCTTGCTTCGCTTGCCTGAATCCATTCCATCAGCAAGCCATTCCCTGCCTGCAATCAAGCAGGCAGGGAGTTGTGGACTTCAATTCCCAGAATTCCTCAGCCAGCAAAACAAAGCTGGCTGAGGAATTCTGGGAGTTGAAGTCTACAAGTCTTAAAGTTGCCAAGGTTGGAGACCCCTGTTCTATTGGGTAAGTTTTTTTCCCCTTTGGAATCTTTAAAAAAAAATAGTTAATTGGGGTTTTTTTTTAGTTGTTCTTTTTTAGACCTAGCCATTTAAAGTTTAGGAAGTTTTAAATTTAGCTTTCATATAAAAATAAAAATAAAATAAAATAAAATAATATTTGTGCAGCTTTCTGAGATTTAGTGTGTTTCTGTAGTGTTTACTCTAACTACACAAACACACAAAATCTCACAAAGCTGTATGTGGAATTTTGTGTGTGTAAAGTGTGAAAGTTGGGTTTTGGGGCTTTTTGTGGCTGTGTGAGGTTCCTGCTTATTGCAGGGGCCATTTTGGGTCTAGCACAGCTGCTTTTACATTGTGGGTGAGCCAGTTGATGTTTTTTAATTTTTATCTGGTGTGCGTTGGAAGAGGGGTAGTCTTATACAGCGAGTATAGCCCAAACCCTATATTTTAACAGGAAAATTTGGGGGTCGTCTTATACGCCCAGTCATCTTATACGCCGGAAAATATCATATTTTTCTACCATAAATATCTACCATATTTTTCAGAGTGTAAGATGCACCTTTTTTCCCCAAAGAGGGTGAAAATCTGGATGCGTCTTATACTCCAAATGTACCCCCACCCAGCTTCTCAAACGGAGGTTTCAGATGCTGAAAAAAGCATCAGAAAAGAAGCTTCAGAAAAGAAGCCCCCAAACAGAGCTTCAGAAAAAAAAAGCCCCCAAACAAAGCTTCAGAAAAAAAGCCCTCGGACTTTCGGTCTGGAGCCGCGGCGCCACAGTCGGGGAAATAGCAGGCTCTAACGAGCCCGTGAAAACCCCGACTGACAAACCACCGTCTGATCGGTCTTCGGACCATTCCCCATCTTGCAGGGATGGGGGGGTGAAGAGGAGTGCCTCGGTGTGCCAAGAGGAACAGGAAAGTTCCTCGGAGGCCAGAGGGAACCCTTGAAGTCGGTGGTGGGGGTAGGCAGCCATGGCGGCTGCCATAAAGCCGCAGCAGACCGGGACACAAGATCGTGCAGGAGAGAAGAAGAAGAAAGAGCAAGTATCTCGAAGCCAGGTGAGTGACACCAACCCAGGCAAAACAACAGGATTATTTGGATTTTTTGAAAAAAATAAGACCTCAACTTTAAATAGCGGCTACAGATCTGTGGGGCTTGAAGATCAAAAAGAAAAAAAAATGGAAATAAAGACCCAAGACAGACTTTGTTTTAGTAAATTTGGAAGAATTGGCTTTTAACAACTTAGAAAAGTGACTTTTCCTTTTTTTTTTTTTTTTTGAGTGGATTGGAGAAATGTATCTTTGGGAGTTTACACCTTTGAAAGTTAATGAAGCTAATGAAGAAAGACAGACGGATGGCTACATAATTGCCATGGAGTCTGCGGTGACTAAGCAGGAGAGTGGATTGAAAAGATTTCCCTTTCCGTTTGGAAAAGAAACTTTTTAAATGGCTTTTTATCTTGGATTACTTTGAAATTAACATTAGATCTATGGAATTTGGAGATCCCTATTCTGTCCTGGATGATTTTGAGAAGAAGGAAGGAATATTTTGGACATTTGACAATGGAAATTAACAAGCTTAGCAAAAAAATTAGGTGTGGCGTAGGAATAAAAGACAGGAAGTTGATGCATCACACATGGAACAGACATTATAAAGCATTAAAGGGACATATAGAATTTTTTTAATTTGAACAGATGAACTTTGAAATGGAACATTTATGGACAGATAGAAAAAGGAAGAAAAGGAAGAAATAAAGTAGATAAATTGAAATGTATAAATTGAAATGTAAAGTTTAAAAGCCTAGAGGTATACATGATTTTTGGATAAAAACAGGAGGGTTTTTGGAGTAATAAAAATAGAAAATAAAATTATATATATATAAAG